CGTCGTCGTTTAACAATTTTTACGAATGAAAACGCGATTAAATTGGAATATATATATATATAAAACATTCGTAAAAATTGTTAAACGACGATGAGAATTTCAATGTCATCAGATGTGAAATCAGATTCTTTTAATTATAAATTTTTTTAGACATCGAACGAACGTTCTTTTCTGGATCAATTTTATAATTTGCATAAAAGAAAAGGATGCAAGTCTCGTTCCACGATGCTCATTAATTTCATCGAGCGCGAAATTATCATCGAGTGAAAGATTTTAAAGGTTTATTATTCCTTCCGTTTTTTATTCCTTCGATTCAAGCAAAATTTTCAAGAATTCGTCAACACCGAGTGAAAGCGCCAATTTTACAAATTAACGAAATATAATATTCTCGTCGCAGAATACTTTGTATTTGTTCGATCGATTCAGTGAAAATTTCCTAGAAACGCGATCCTGGAAAAGTTTGCCGCGCTAATACACTTCTGCATTATGAGCAATCGAGCTAGCTAAGCCAATTAATTTGCCTCCGTTCGTTTACATTTCGAATCTCCTGTTTCTTCAACTTCCCCCTCATTCTCCTCACCTTCTCCCTTACTTCCAAAAGTGGAGATCGGCAAAATTGCTTTTTCAAAAATTTCCATCAGCAGAGAAGAAAGTGGGCCGAGTTTCCAATGGATATCCGGAATATCCGATTGCCAATTTCCACGTAACTGAGACGTATCCCCCCCTTTTCTCTCGAACGAATTTTTCCTCGAGACAGGGCCTTCCTTCGCCTCATTTCGGGATCCTCTCCTCACGGAATCGCGCTCGATCGCGCTTTCCAATTCCTCTCCGCGCGAATAAAACACGAACAAGCGGATATTGCTTTAGTTATCATACCATTGTGCCCTTCCCCCCACGGCTTCATTTATTATTGGAAGGAATGTGATCGAACGTCGATCGGGATCGATGGAAAGAAATTGGATCGCGTTTCTATTTTTTCTTTTGCGAAAGGAAATGGCCGACTGAACAGAACGCAGAGAAGAGGTTGGTAGCCGAGGTGGCAAGGAAGGTTGGCAGCTTTTAATTCGATCGAAACACACGTTAATTCAGACGGCTAAAAAGAGTTAGAGTCTCTCGAGTCAGTCTACGAGCGAAAGAAAGAACGAGTGAAACGCTCTTTGATCGAAGGGATCAAAGGAAACGGGAGGAGAATCGTGGCGAATTATTGAAAATCGAGATGGAATTTCGAGAATCCGACTTGGTGAATCTCTCTATACTCTGTTGGAGGTAAAAAAATTACGATATTTTTCTTTGTTCCATGCATCCCTCGTACACGATCGCCCTTTAAAGGAACGATTCTGAGGATTCGTTCGAGAAGAAAAGTTACCGCAATGCTCCCCTCTTATTTCAACCTGTTTGATTGTAAAAGAAACGATAAACGATTCTGACTCGTGATATGATAGAGAATATATGGAAATTCCAAGGAATCATCGTATCATCTTTGTGAAAAGAGGTGTACGAGATTTTGGGAGGAAAACGGCGAGGAACGATCTCTCGGCGGAAGATATTTCGGCGCGCTCTGTGTTTCCACGTTTCTCAGGGGGACGACGCGTGAAAACTTGTTCCCTCTCAGGAGGAATAAACGGAGGAAGAGAGAAGGAGAGAAAAAAATCTGCTCGATAGTCGCGCCGTTACGTTGCATATACGAGAAGCATTTCGAGAAGTTCATCCGACAGAGGGGCGAATTCCCGCGGGTGGGCTAAAGCTTTCCTCGAGCGGAAAAGTTGCCGGTGTGAGAAGAGCGTGCCAAAGATAGAGGAGCGCAGCCTTCGCTCCCCTTATCGACGTTCCTTTCCATCGTTTTTCCTTTCTTCTTTTTTTCTTTCTTTTACACCCCTCTCGTTTTCATTCTCGAGAGTCGCAACACCCGGAACCGTTCATCGAAATTATTCGCGCTCGAATAATTCCTCCCGCGTTTAAAAATTTCTCGATCGATGATATCTCGAGACGAGGAAGAGCGTTCGAACAAAGAAGAATCATCGTGGAATTGTATCTTCAATTTACGACGATTTAATTTCTCACGGAGAAAGTTTTCTTCTTCGAAAACTTCGCATCGTGTTCGATTAATTTTTATTAAAGTTTGATTCTCTTTCTGGATCGCCCGACTCGTCGAAACGGATCGAACGACTCTCACCGCCCCCAATAGTATTTTCAGAAAATACGATTTGATTTAATTTTTCCATTCTTTTAAAATTTTATTCTCGTTGTATTTCTCGAAACGGATCGAAGTTTCGATCCCGAAAGTTTTGTTGAACACGTTCGTGGCTTCTTCGACCGTTCGCCCTTTCGACGACGATCGATCTTCTTCTTCTTCATTCGCGGATGAGGTGTATACGACACCTTTCCTCTCCCTTTCACGATCCTTTCGAGCGAACATCTTCATCCCCCTTTTTCTCTGAGCACGGTTTACACGCGCGTTTGTCGTTGATCGAACGATATCAAACGGTTATTATTTTACAGAGTAAGATGGAGGAGCTAAGATCGAGAAGGATTCACAGAATCGTGGAGGGTTTTCTACCGAAGACTATGGATCCGAAGGATCGCGCATCGGAGATCGATCTGCTGTTACAATTCTGTCTGTCTCTCAGCAAGGTGAGGACAAACAAACAAACTTTCTTTCTTTACCCGAACGATGGTCATCGAGCCATCGTTCGATTAAAAAAAAAAAAAAAGAAGCAAAAGGAAGGTTCTTCTCGAATTTTCATTCGAGATAAAATAAATAAATGTTGATTTATCGGCAGATATATCCGAAGCACAAGGATCTGTACAATTGGGTGGACGTGGACCAAAGGGTGTACGTGCCGTTCAACATGTCCTATCTCCAGGAGAGTTTCGGTTATGTGAGTAAAAGGTCGAACGTTATTACGTGTCACGTAGGCAATTTTTGGATAGGAAAAGTGACTTGGTCCCGTTTTCACCCGGGTTAGATAAGGTGGGGGACGCTGCTGAACGCCACTCTAGGCGCTGCCACTGCCGATCTTTACAATCACAGCAGCCGCAATCGGGATCGTAGCCCTCACGGCTACGAGGATCAGCTGGTCTACGTTTACGTTACCGCCCCGCGCTACTTCCGCAGCCTTGGCAAACTGCTGAATCGCTTTTCCAGAAGGTAAGCGCGTGCGATTACGAATCCCCCCCTCTGGAAACATCCATCCTGCTCTCTTTCCGCCCGAGCTTTGGGGAGGATCGAAGAGGAAATTTTTTCGATTATTTTTTTCCTTCTACTTTCAGGCAATTTGCGAATTTTTTTTCGGGAAATTTTAACGAATGGACGTTCTTTATTTTCGTGCAAATTTAGATTTCTGGAAAGATCGGAGAGGAGCAATTTATCGAAAATACGTCCGTTGGCTCGTATTTTCGCCACGAAATTCCATTCTTCTTTTCGCAGCATTGACTCGGCCTGTTCGCGAGCTTTAATCGAATCTCTGACTTGATTACCCAAATCCGTGAACGGAACCATTATTCCAAATCCGAGTGAATATTAAACGAGACGGATAAAAGATTTGAAATTTAAATCTAATTTTTAGAGGAAAAAATAACAAGTGTTGGGTCAGCGACTTTTAATTAAACGAATCGAGAGAGAAATCGAGTGTAATTACACTTTCTATTTCGCGACAAAAATATTATCGATCGAGCGTGAAGAATTATTTTCGAAGATGAAGCGGAAATACGAGCGGAAAAACGGCGTTCTTTTTTTTTTTTTTTTTTTACGATGGCGCAGCCAGTCGCTATTTATTAACCGAATCGTCTGTGTGCGATATTAAAAATAACGATGGAAGGTAACTGCACCTGCAATTTTTACGATCGCTCCTCCTATCGAAATTACGAAATTTCGATATCAAATCTCTTCGATAATTTTTTCCCTTTATGGGCCAATTCCCTTTATGTGGACATTTTTACCCGATTTCGCAATGGATTCTTCGTTAAACGTTAAACAGTTTACACGACGACGCAAAAATGGGCGCGTTGAGATCGCGTTTCGAATTATCGATATGGATTTACCGATATGGATTGAAATGTTGAACCTATCATCCGCTCTCCTTGCCGCACATTCGTCAACAGTTACAGGAAAATATTATATTAAGCTACAATACAGCTAATGATAATTTTATAAACACGAAGCTAAACTGTTAGTTCTGCCCTGTTTTCCCCGGGTAAATAATTGTTATGCTCTACAAAAGTTTTGGCTGGCTGTTGTTCAAAATATATATATATATTATTGATAACGAGCGATCGATAATCCGGAAGTCGAAGATTCGAGTAAATATCGGCCATTCGGCCAATGAATCGACTAACGAATTATGGATATTAATGGAACGTAAACGAGGTCAGTCGGAAGAACTGCATTATTGCGTCGAATCGCGTTTACTTTCGTTGGACACATTCGAGGAAGGAACGTACGAAGGAAATACGAATCGTTGTCGAACGAACGAGGATTCGCATTAGGAAACGTGGTGTCATTGGGATGATTCTTCTTTTCGATTACTTGGAAACCGTGACGATGAATTTTCAGCGAGAAAAATTGGAAAATTGTCGTGAAAATAATTTTCTTCGCAGTTATTTCGAGAATAATTCGAAAACAGGTGAGAGAATTATCATGAAATTTTCGCTCGATCCTCGTGTAAAAGGGTTTGAAAAAAGGGAGAAATTCGTGCTCGATTCGACGATCCAGGGGAAAATTTCGATTCTCGCCGCAAGAATTCTTTGGCCGGAGGAAAATTGATATACCGTGTCGCGTATTCGTTGGCTCGATAATCGAGCCACTTTATAGGAACAAAGAGCAATCGAAACACGATTAATTCGCCTTTCGTCCGACCAATTAATCCTCCCATAATTTCTCTTTTGTCGAATGGAACAAAAGCAGGGTCTTTGAGGATAACGGTCGATGACTCGACAATTTCCAAAATTAATAATTCGAACGGACATAATTAATTATCGAATTCAGGACAGGGCTAACTCTGATATAATCTATTGACCGTTTGAAATGTTATTAATTATAAAAAAAAGAGCAGAAAAACGAAGAGAAGCGAGATCGATTTTAAGATTAAAAATACGCGTTTCATTTCTTTCAAATTCCTCTACTTAGCCGCACGATTGCGGACATTTTTTCCCCGATAATTCTGGACGAGGAAGCAACGCTGTGAACATCGATTACCGCGAATCGTACCGATCGCCGAGGTTCTCACCACGCTTCGTTGAGTTTCACGCTCCGTGTGAGCCGAATTTCACTTTGATGACACTGGCATTCGCATTTGCATAATGCGTATAACGCAAGTTCCCCTCAAGTTCCGGTCAGAATTCGATCGAAGTTACGCGTGACAGTTTCAAGAAAGGGCGGCAGAAAATACAATTTCACGGGGTGAAAAATGATACTTTGCTTTTCCTCGAGCGAGCGAGTGTAAAGTGGTAACTCGAGAATCGTTCGTCGAAAAATTTCGATAGAAGCTGTCAACGAGCTTAGAAGAGTAAATTTGCGTGTGAGAGAAATATCTCGTTCCGACGACGAGACGTCGAATTTAATTGGCAAATCGATTTGCTTGATCGAATCGTTAATATCTGTTCAACAATAAAAAATGAAAAAAGAGGAAAAAAGGAATAAGTGATTGTGGTGGTATTCGAGCTGGAAGACGGCTCGACTCGAGTTTATTCGGATTATTTCGGTGGAAAGATCCAAGGTGAAATTCTTTGGTCGGTGTAAAGCACGAAGCGACAGAGTATAACGTTTTATAACGTCGAGTCAAAACCAAATAATTGTGGCACAATTACAATATAGTAACAATAGTTTTTCGCGTAATTTTCTCATTTCCTATTTAAATGGACGACGAGGCGACAAATCGTCAACTTCCCAGTTTAGCCCTAATATCAGAGCGTACCGATAGGGGAGCAAACGTTCGAGAATTCGAAAACGCCACTCTTGGCAGCCTCCGCTCGTTCCTCTCCGCTATTATCTCTCTTAGACAGACGCTATGCAAATGGAGGGATGAATACAGCCACAGCGATAATTACCGGCGAAGGTAATTTCGCGGAACGAGACATTCGCCAATTTGTATTCGAACCATCTATCCCGCCATTTCGAAATCTCGCTTTTCTCGCAACGTCTCGTGAATTTTAATCTAAACTTTTCCAATTTTCTTTCCACCGTTGTTCCGATTACGTATGAAGAAGAATTTCGAAATAACCGAAATAATCACGTTTTAAATCGTCACGTTTCTATATATTTGGAATAATCGTTTTGGAAATGGTGGCTGGAAATGAAAGGTAAGGTTAAAGCGCGGCTTTAAGGATTTGTTTAGTAGGTGGCCGATCGTAGTGTCGGCGTAACATTTACGAGGAGAGAATTTCGTACGCACGCGGTTAATAAACGTACGGCACGACCATAAATTTTGATACCAGAGCATGCATCGTAAATCGGCGCCTAATTCGTCCATTACACTTCGTCAGGAAATTTCGGCGCATCTGCGGAAATTATCGCTGTTCCCGATCTGAAAAGATTTTTATCGTTGTAAAAAAAGGAAAAAAAATTTTTTCCAACCTCTTTGCAATTATTAATTCCAGAATTGAAACTCGTTGAAAATTTCGAGTAATTAAAATGTTCGAATAACACTTATTATATAGCTATTATAGTTGATTCGCTCTTAGTTGATTAACCCTCGATCGTTCGACGGTATAATTATTCGCGATTATTATTACGTTTATGAACGATAAATTGTCCAAGTCCAACTTTATTCGTAATTTTGCCCATCATTGCCTTCCATACCTCCATACCGTACATTAAAAAAGGAAAAAAAATTTTTTCCAATCTCTTTGCAATTATTAATTCCAGAATTGAAACTCGTTGAAAATTTCGAGCAATTAAAATGCTCGAATAACACTTATCATATAGCTATTATAGTTGATTCGCTCTTGGCAATAACCTCGACCGTTCGATGGTATAATTTGCGATTATTATTACGTTTATGAACGATAAATTAAATCCAAGTAACTTTATTCGTAATTTTGCCCACCATTGCCTTCCACGTATACTTCTCAATAAGAAAAACTTGAAAACATTTCATCATGGAACGACTGTGAAAGCACGATCTCGATATATATACAAAATACACGAAAAGAAAAGAACTCAGTTAAAGGAATCGCGACGTAAAAGTTAAGCAGCATAAAGAATATCCTCGAATTCGTTTAAATGGGTTCGTATTTATGGTAGCGTGACATAGAGAGCCTCGATAGAATCGATAACGTTAAGTTCTCGATGCCAACTGTTCGTTATTATTACAGCCACGAGGCCATTATGCTTATATACATATTTTCGATGCCTATTCTCACAGACTTTTAATTATTTCATCCTTAAAGAAAGTTATGGCCAATGCTAGATCGATCGAAACAGAGAGAGAGAGAGGGATGGTAAACGTAAATAAAGTTTTAATGCAGATAGAATAATATACTCACGAGGGCATCTTGTTACCAAGGATCATTCACAATGGATTGTTGCTGCTGTACGCGACTGACACCCTGCACGACATCGTGAACGTGACCGGGAGCAAGGACTGGAAGCTTTCTTGTTTCAAGCTGACCAAGGAGGTGTTCGGTGAAGTCGTGGGCGCTCTCTACGTGCAACAGTACACGCCTCAGTATCTAGAAACCCTAGCGAACAGGGTAATGTGAAAAATAATTTGCACGAACACGACGATGCTCTACCTTAGAAAGCTTAGAAAGTTGTCTTAGAAATTTTAGTGTTAGGACGAGAAAAAGAAAAAATAGCCTCTCTCGTTTCGAATATTTCCTTTTTCCTCTATCGAAACGCAATCGAGACAAATTGCATTGGTGCGGCGAACAGGTGGGGGGGCTGTTCGAGCGCGTGAAAGAGACGGTAGCCGAGCGTATTCTGGTGAAATCTTGGCTAGACGAGGAGACGAGGACGCAGGCGTTGTTGAAGCTCAACTCGTTGCGGGGAAGATTTCACGTGTGGCCTGGTTTCTACAACGAGAGCTTACTGGCCCGAGAAATGGCCGAGGTGAGCGCCTTCTTCTTCGCATTCCAAACGCGTCTCGCGATGTATTTATATCACCTTAAAACCTTCCCCCCTTTCTGTTACTTTCGACAGGTGGAGATCGATCCAGACGACTTTTTCCACACCGTGTTGAAACGATTCCAACAGATTCGCACCGTCGACGACAAGGTTTTGAGGAGAAACGTGACCGAGAAGTAAGAAACCGCCCGATCCGGATCAAAAACCGGTCGTTTTTCCTTCGTTCCTCGACTCAAAGAAAAAATCAACGCGCGAATACTTTGACTTTTGCTATAAATATCTCATATTTGAAATTAAATTTACTTTCGCAGGCGTCGTCATCCCTACAGCGTGAACGCCTACTACGAATCGTCGACGAACACGATTGGTAAAAACGAGAAACTTTCGAACCGTTCTTTTCGATCGTTGTTCGAGGAGAGAAAACGTAGCTCGTCGATTTCAGGCATCCCACTGGCGATGATGACGGCCTGGTCCTGGTCCTGGGACGGTGGACCAGCGTATGCCGCGCACGCGACTCTCGGATCGGTGATCGGCCACGAGATTCTCCACGCCTTCGACCTTCATCGACGCCGACTGCCATTGGATCCCGATATGAACGTCGATCAATGGCTCTGGATCACGCCCGAGTCTTGGAAGAGGTTGGAGGCGAGGATCGAATGCGTGGCCAGGCTTTACGCCAGGAGTTTCTGGAGGAAGGTTCAATTTTACGGGAACGACGTCGCTGTACAGGTTGGGAAAAAATATAATATACACATATATATTCTTTGTAAATTTGTCGCGCGAGGTTGTGGCGGTGAAAACGTGTTTCCAGTTTGATTGGAACGTGACGAGGAACGAGAACGTCGCCGATATCGGAGCCTTGCAGATTTCGTATAAAACTTGGCACACTTTGACGAACGGCAAGGATCGAAGTCTTCCCGGATTGGAGGGACTTCGCGCGAGCCAGCTTTTCTTCATAAGCGCCGCCCAGGTAAACAGACCGGCCCCGTATTTCATCGATTCGAGATTGGCCACTTTCCTTCCCTCAAATTTTTATTATTTTCTTCATCCTTCGAAGATGTATTTTAAACGTGTCGTTTCGCGCGTTGTGCGCGTCACGTTCGATTTCCTATTACACGACGGTTGACGTGGCTTTTTTCCAAAAAGAATTTTCCGTTTTTCGTTTAATTCGCGTCCAATATCCGAGCGTTGTCATGGATCGAAATTTTGGATTTCCTTCCATTTTTACCACACATTTCATTTTCGTTCTTCTTTTTTTTTTTTTTGTTGCTTTATGGAAAATCGATATTCGTCACACAGGGAAACTTTCTTCGAAGTTAGAAGAAGATCCACGAATTCTTTTTGTTGTTTTAAAAAATAGGCGAACACGATTGGCGTTTCGAACGTCACGTCAACTTCTTATTTCTTCCTTTCCAGACCTACTGTTCCAATATGACTGCCGAGGCCTACATTCTTTCCGTTGAGCTCGATTACCACACACCGCAGCCCGAAAGGTATCGATTGCGATTAAAAACGATCCGCGACACATTTCATTCCCGATCGAACGAAAGACTCGATGATATCAAAGCTCTCGTGATTTTTTTCCCTTCTTTCCGAAAACGGTCAACATCAGAGTCAACGGTATAATGATGAACTCCCAAGCGTTCGCGGACGCGTTCCGTTGCCCCCTCGGAACGAAAATGAACCCCCCCAACAAGTGCACCACCTGGTGATGACGGTCAGGCTTGGACGATCGTTCGCCGGCAGCGTAAGGTTTCGTCTCTTTGATAAAAAAAAAAAAACTCGATCATTGGAATATGGCGATCATTGGACGTGACGGAAGGAACAGCGGAGAAAAGAAAAAGCGGCGAGGGCTTGATTGTTTTTTTCAACAATTGTCGAGCGATCTTGCGTCGGAGAGAATCGATTCGGGTAATAGAAATCATCGACTTGGTCAAAAAAAAAAAAAAAAATATAAAAAAAAAAAATAAAAAAAAATTCTTCCTTATCCCTGACAGTTTGCAAGAATAAATTAATTTTAATTCGTATTTTCAGAGATTCGATTCGAAAAATTGGACGGATCGAAGAGAGCGATCGCTCGATTCGCCAAGGACGCGGAGGATCGATCGATGGACGACAAGCTTGTTACAGCGTTTTCAGAGTTTTCTAAGGAACCGGCGGTGGAGGAGGATCTCCAATCCTTCCCTCTCGGTTCGAACGCGCCATTAACGTTAATATCTCTCCTTACGACGCTTTAGAGGATTTTAGAGATTTATTATTATAGCGAAAGCAATAAATTGTTAAACGAACGAGAGAGAGAGAGAGAGAGACAGAATATGTGTGCGTGCGTGCGCGTGTGTGCGTGTCTGTGTGTGACGAAAACAAAAAAAAAAAAAGAAACAAAAACAGGCGAGTGAACGAGAGAGAAGATAAATTTATCAAAGCGTTCTCGATTTTGCAACAACGATCGGTGGTGGCATTAGAGAACGATGATATAATCATTCGTCCATTAGTCGGGACGAGTATTGCACCAGATAGACCAGATAAAAAGAAAAAAAAAGTATACGATCGTACATTTGGTATTTGATCGACACGAGGGTCGATCACGTTAGACGATCGATCACGGTTTATTATAATCTCCACGCCTTCGCCTATCCGAGCAGAAATCGTAGAAATCGTTCGATCGAACGATCTCGTTCACGACACACCTCGTACGAGCGTATACGATCGTACGGAATCTCGAGAGGAGTCGAGCAAAGGAGACGAGGCGGATTGGCGAAAAATCGTCCACGAGTCGCGGATTCGTTTAGTTTCTCGCGCGTTGTCTTCGCCTCTTGTCTTAGCTCTAAAAGTTAAAAAGTTTGTAAATAAGTCGTGCCTCCCACCCCTGATCTTTTTCGGTTTAGTTTAGTTGATTAGAGGAGCGGCGTAATGAAGTAAAAATCGTCGAGTTGAAGAAAATTAGGAGGAGAAAAAAGGAAGAAAAGAAAACTCGTCGATCGACACGATCAAACTTTCGGATAGATCCACGTTAACGCTGAGAAGGGCTTTAGAGAGATAACCAGGCTGGTTAGAGCGCGCTTTCTATCTTCACCCGTGTATTTCGCTCGGTTCTATCTTCGTACTCTTCGGAAATTTCACAAATTTCGATTGACGCTTCGCTTTTATTCGTGACACCGTTTCGCTCGGTTCTCGATGGAGAGAGAGAGAGAGAGAGAGAGAGAGAGAGAGAGAGAGAGAGAGAGAGAAGAAGAAGAAAAAGAAG